TTTACAGTTTAAGTAAAGCAATTTTTGTGTTACTATTTTTTATTACTTATTTCAGTATTGAAGTTTTATTAATCAATTTGTCCATTGAGTCGTGTACTAATTTTGTGAATATTAATTATAGATAAAAAATTCGATGTATTATCTTTGAATGAATAATTTCAGAGTATAATGGGATTTAACTTCCAGTTTCTCACTATCTGCTATAAAGCTGCTTGATGAGGATTTTCTTGTCCAGAGTCCCTCCCATCTTTATGTCTTTTCTGGCCTGGAAGAAACTATACCGAACTGATATTGTTATTATTACTGGATCCTACACACTAATCCAGATCATTTGGGCATCCTATTTACCAGAGATCTTTGCTCTTGGCTTCTTTTAAGTATGCTCTAAAAGGACCAAAACATGCAACTTCTTAACTGATCAAAGAAAACATATAGTAACTTATTAAGATGTCGTATTCTAAGCTGTTGCTATTCAAACTAAGGCTGCAAGGTGAATACTTGAATCTATTTTGTATAAATGTAATGTACAGTAGCTTGTTATCAATCTTTTATTTTCCACAGTATTTTTTTCATCTTTATTTAAACGGAAAAAGACGCACGTCACTGGTAAGTTGTTTGTCCAGCTTTTGACATGCTTTTAACTTGACATTTCATTTCCATTTCTTTCCTTTTACAAATTTCGACTTACATGGCAATTTACTGTATAACACGTTATATTTTTCTTCTCTATTTTATCAAATTTTATATTGGTGGTTTGCTGCAAGTTCTCCGCTCTTGTTACATTATGTGACAAGAATTTAGTTGGGATAATGCGAAGAAATAATTTTTACAGGTGCAATATTATTGTCATAGCCTGAAAAAACGGATACTAATTACCGCATTATAGTTGTATTGCAATCTGTCAATACGCAAATAGTACATACCTAGACAGTTTAGTGTGAAGGATGTAAAGAATGTGCCATTATGCACGTTGTTTTGCAGTCATTATGACCTTTGTACACCGGAAACATTGTCCCTAAATGCCCGTAAATAATATGAAATAGTTAATAGGCAATATTATATATATCTGATTTGGTACTACTTATTTACATGTTTCAATCTCTTCTTTCTACAATTGCATGTCAAAAAAAAGATAGTAATATTAAATTAATGTTCAAGCTTTTATAACATTGGCCCGTGCTAAACGCGGGCCAAAATTTATCTAGTACATTAATACAAGAGAAAACTATCCTCTATAGCCCTTCAAATTTTTATTAGCTCATGTTTTCCCCCATGTACCCGAAATAGCCTTTAGGCCCAATTTATTGACAAGTTATAGCCACTATTCCCAATATACTTCCACTATCTTTCAACCGCCTGGTACTCCTCTCTCTCTTCTCATCTCCTCCAATCTTCAATCTTCCATCTTTACCTTTTTTCTTATCTTTCCCTTATTCACTCCCTCCTTTTTTTTTCTTCTCCTATAGCGATACCAATACACGTTTTTATTTTTTTTCTCTTTTTTTTTGCGATTTCCTCCTCTTTTACTTAGATACAGAAAAATCTATCTTCTTCGAGTAATTTCTGAAAAAATTCTGGCGGTAGTTGCCACTTTCTTTGCTTTCTGTCCACTTTCAGATATAGTATTGCATGATATTTTTTCGGATGACTTTTGCAAGAAGATGAGAAATAAAAAATAAAATAGCCGCTGCCGGAGAAAAGCTTTTTCTGGCCAAGTTCGGTGTCCTCCATTATCGTCAGCGCTCCTTTATTTATACACTATGTAATCAGTATATAATAATTATAATATAGTGTATAATTAGTGTGTATACATTATACACTAATGATACATTTATTATACACATATTATACAAAACGAGACGTGAAAGATTACGGTGACTATGGTGAGTGTTGAAAATACTGAATATATTATGTATACACATTTATATGAAAGGTGTATGTACACTGATATATAACACATATACATNTGTGACTACAGGGGAAAGTCTTCTATTAGCTTTATTTTAACAAAGGATTTTTTCGTTTCTATACAATATTTGAAATTTATTTATCAAAATTGTTCTAATTTTGTATATTACCCGCCCTAAACAAGGATTACTTACAAATTATACACATTCCACCTTAAAAGTATCATAATCCATTATTAGTGCCTTCAATCAACGGATTTAGTTACACCCTTTCCTTTTTTTCTCTCCTCTCTCCCCTTTTTTCTCCAGACCGAACTTATATTTAGAGATTTATGCTTGATAACTGTTTCAAAATACATTCGTCAAATTCATGAGATACTGCTGAAGTTGTCGTCTTTCTTTTTTTGGGTCTTTTTTTCTCTTTATTTTGATGGTGGATTTAATAATGGAATAGGATTTCTGACGAAATTTATGCTGACTACTTGCCATAAAACCTTTTGTTTATTTTGTGAAAGTTTCGGTCAAGTGGTAGCGCAGCAGATTAAGGATTACTTACAAATTATACATATTCCACCTTAAAAGTATCATAATCCATTATTAGTGCCTTCAATCAACGGATTTAGTTACACCCTTTCCTTTTTTTCTCTCCTCTCTCCCCTTTTTTCTCCAGACCGAACTTATATTTAGAGATTTATGCTTGATAACTGTTTCAAAATACATTCGTCAAATTCATGAGATACTGCTGAAGTTGTCGTCTTTCTTTTTTTGGGTCTTTTTTTCTCTTTATTTTGATGGTGGATTTAATAATGGAATAGGATTTCTGACGAAATTTATGCTGACTACTTGCCATAAAACCTTTTGTTTATTTTGTGAAAGTCTCGGTCAAGTGGTAGTGCAGCAGATTAATATGGTTAAAAATGAAAGAACACATATGAAGAAATAGCCAACGACTAGCTAGAAAACTCGAAACTTGTGTTGAAGTTCTGTTCTTGCGCAAACATTGCATTATGCTATAGCTAGTGTATTTTAAAGACTGAAATTTTCGGACAACCAGGAGAAGGTAATGTCTCCAAAAGCCGGCGACGAAAAACCTACATCGAATATTGCAGCTAAACAAAATTTAGTATCTCCTCGGACTTCTGAGAAGATAAAATCAACTGAGAAAAGAAAAATATATGGTACATTAACATACAAATTAAAAATAAATTTCGTACAACTAATTATATATTATACAACTTATTTACAACTTATCTACAACTTTCATACATTATTTCTACCCAGTTAAATACAATTACAATATCATACAACTTAAATATAATTTTTATACAAATTTTATACAATATGTCTTTTGTATATATTTTGTCTGTGGTGTGTGCTTCTTCCTCTCTAAAATTCCAATCAAAACTTACTCTATTAATACAATTTTGATACAAATCAACAACTTTATGTAAAAAGATAGTATTGATAACTTAAATACAAATTTTATACAATAATTCATATATTATACAACTTTTTTTCAACTTTCATACAACAATCAAATAAAAAAATATATATATATAACTACAACAAAATACAATTTACATATAATTATAATATAATTTTACTACAATTTCATAAGTATATTGTATGTCATGTGTTCTTCTTTTTCTTCTTCTTCTTTCAATCTGAAATTCAACCAAAATCAAGTCTAATCTTCACCAAAATACTCTCAAAATTGAGATATAAACTCCAAACAATATTTTCAATTGTTTTGCAACAACACCCAATCCAAACAAATAATGATTTTTGAAAATCCACATTATTTCAAAGCTTTTAAGCTTTTTAATGGTTGTCAATGGTGGAGAGTCAAACACCTTCAAAATTTATTGATTGACAATTTTAATTTGAACACTAATTGTGCAACATGAAAGAAAATTGCTAAGTTAAAACGATTCAAATCCATTGATGAATTCCATTAAAACTCTATACAACAAGAAAGCATAAAAAACAGAAAACATCAAATAAAGAAAAATTGGGGGAAAACAGAGAAGGAGAGTAGAGAGACGAAGAGAGAGATAGAGACAGAGAGAAAAAGAGACTGGGAGAGAGTAGGCAAGTATAAATAGATAAGGAAATAATTGATATTCCTTATTCAATTCCTAATATAAAGGGATACTCATTTAAAACTTATTTGTATATAATTGGTAAATTGTATATAACCATGTAATTAAATTAAAACTTGAGTAAGGAGGGTAATAAGGTTTCAAATAGTGTATAGGAAGGTAAAAATCCCAAAATAATTTTAAGGTTATGTACAACTTGGACCACATCGGGTAAGGGCTTGAAATGTGGGCCACTTTCGGATGAATTGTTGGCCCAAGTGATAAGGCCTGCAACTCTGATAATCTTAAGGAAGAGGATCAAAACGTTTAATTTATGAATTCAGATATTAATAACCAAATACATTTAAATAAAATGTACATAGCAAGAAACTAAACAAAGAGCATAGGTCATTATCTTCATAATTGAACGTCAAGAAAATATTTCCAAAATCGTATTAATACTATTATTTTGTAGAGATTTTACTAAATTAAAAAAAATTTAAATATCATTTTTTTAATGTGATAAAGGATGTCATATAGATTTGGACCAAGAAAAGATACATGTTTTCTCATTTTTCAAGATTAACATATTTTCCTTGTAACTGACATGATTAGAAACTAAATAAAAAACATATATGACCCTCTCTTGAGTATGTTTCGAGAACTAGTAAGAGAGATTAAGTGAATAAACGGATTGTTTTTCTCTACTTAAATTTAAACTCTTACACAAGATTAGATCATACAATTCTGTAAGTTACTTGAAGTAATGTGTCATCTGCATAATAATTAACAACCTTAAACTCAATTCTGCTTAATGTATGCCTAAAAACTTGCCCAACAAAATTATGAAAACAACCAAACTGAATATTGGAACACAGGGATAAGCTTGTTAAGGAGAATGCAAGAGGAGGGTACTGCTGTAAAGAGACCGTGTAACATTTAGCTCCACTAAATGGTCTGAGGTGGTTCAATTGAATTCCCTTTGTCAAAACATTATTCTACACATATCGGGGAAAAAGAAAAGCTTTTTTGTATAGGCATGGATTATTTAATCTCAAGTGTGGAATCTCCTTGTTAGATTTTCTAACTCCAACATGGTTAACATTCATCAATTCAGAAGTGAGGACAAAAAAGTGCAACAAAAGACCATTCCTACTCCGACCTTTCTTTTCTATCCCCCCTACCCCTCCCAAATCCCTTCTTTTTATCTCAAAATTTTGAGATTAAACCTTTTTACAACTTGGTAGCCTCTAATGGCTCACAGATGATGCATGTTTACTAGGACTTACTATAAAAAAGAAGCTGCCAAAAATAATAACCAAAACATGAAGAGGTTCCTACTTTTTTCTCTTATTACTCTTAGGAGAAGATGTGGAGGATGATGTTGAGAAGCCTGCCCAGTGATTTTGAGCTTTGTCTTTGTTGAATGCCTTCTCGAAATCATCCTTAAGTTGTTCATAACGCATTTTCTTCGATCTTTGTTCCTCAGGTGTGCCACTTTCCAGCGTCAAAGGATTTAGCATTTTGTCCAGAATGTCTGAGCAATTAGGGAAAAAACGTCGACCTGTATCCACTGCCATATTTGGGAGAAAAAGACAGCATTGAGAAAGAACTTATCGAAATATTGGGAAAGTGGACAGCCTTAGTTACATTCATTTATCAAGCCTACTGGAAGAAATATTGATAAACACATTTCAATAGATTCAAACAGATTCAAACAGATACATATGCCTGCATACAGTTAAGCTTTTGCCTTTTGAAGCCTAAATAAACGGAGAAAAGTGGAAATGGAAATTTAATAATAAGTTGTATAACTTCTTTTTCTTAAAGCAAAAAGCATAAACAAAATAGGCTAGCCTACACTTGTATAATTTAGTGAAACCTAGAAAGAAAGAAACAAAGGTTTTCATACATTATGTACATGAAAGAACATATTCAAAGGCTTATGACAAACATAAGGAATTAAAATTAGTTCCATTTTAAGTTTTAGGAATTCTTCCTCCTTTAAATAAGGTCCCTGCAATTACCTGTTTTCTGCAGGGCTTCCAGTCGCTCTTGGAGTCCTTTTACCTTTTCAGGTGGAAATTCATTCAAAACAACCCCTGTCAGATCTCCACATAAGTTATTTATTTCTGAAAGGCCAGTAAACTCCGAGGTCGAATCAACATGTGCTATATCCATGGCCAGCTTGGCTTCTATAGGAAACATCATGCGTGCCATTGCCACTGGAACAAAACACTAGTTAGGCAATACTAGGATCAAGAACATAAATGCAGGGAGATAAGAGTGCAAAGAATGAACACCATCAAACAGGTTTTTCGCATCTATCTGAGATAAACCCCATCACTTTTTTGGTGCGAGGTTTATCTTGATATCTGGAACTTAAATATAAAGTATCAGACAAGGGAAGTATCAACAAAAGGAAAGCTTTTCATCTACCCAAAAAGTGAAATGAACAAAGAAAAAGGAAATGTGACTCCTTTGTGTCTTAGAAGTTTTTCTGGCTAAAATGAAAGCTGCTACTTAAAATTGGCTTCTTGAGGGAAGAGTTTCGAACTGCACCTATCTAACTATCAGGGCTAAGGAAACTAAAAAGAGCTTCCACAGTATAAGAGATATGTTAGCTGCTGCTTCAATTTGAACATGTATAAGCAGCACAAATGTGTAATAGCATCTTGTACCTCTCTCCTTTCCAACCCAACTCCACACAGAAATAGACGGGAAAAACATGGCGCAAAGTGTAGGAAAGTGGTGTTTCGATTCATCATGATTTGGGACTGAAAGGCAGCATAAGTGCCTAGGATTTGGGCAACAAATTCTTGTGTCACATCCAGCACATGTCCAAAAGGTTATAACTTCATCTAAATGAATTCTCTGTCCAATAGTCTTGAACACGGAGACAGGAAATTTTTCTTATAAAGAAACAAAAGGAAAATAGTGTGGGAACAATTTGCGGCAATACCAAGTGAAAGAAACTTAGCTATTAAATCTACACTATCCCGAAACTATTCTATCAAATACATATTTTAGAGGATAGTAGCAAAATACTCTTTATCTTGCATATTCTTGAGATTACTAAGGAAGTAAAAGAATAGTATTAATTCACATCAAATTGCAATACAAGATGGCTAATATTCGAAAAGGCACGTATGCTACTTAATTTTCTCTTAGTTTTAACCATCTAGTGATAGATATTGACAGCTATAAACACTATTACTGCGCACTGAACATTGATGAAACGGATAGCTGGAATAAACAGATAAATGGAAATCGTAATAGATTTACAACAGTTCTCTTAAATGTACTAGAATAAACTTGAAGACATGTGTCTAATGTAATCTAGGCTTAAATTTTTCCACTGTTAAGGCCACTAATAATCTGGAAAGTTGAAAAGTATAGTTCCAGTGGAGTTTACAGAACTTACGACGAAAGAAAAGAGCCGTAAATGACATTTTGCATGAAAGAAGTTTCAAACTAGGGCACCATCTGAAGACATAATGGTATAAAATAAGCAAGACATACCTTCTTTTTGCTTTTCTTTCTCTTCTGTTTCTTTTCTTAGTGTTCTTTTCTTTGGGGGGATGTTGCCAAAGGAGGAATGAACTATATTACTTGATGAAAAGAAGTATTTCATGTTGGAAAAGCTTTATATCAATAATAAAGGAGGGCTGAAATGGTTCTAGCTAAAACGAATCCTGACTAACACGCTGAAGATGTGAACATAGAATTTTTATTAGAGTTAAACTAAGGTACCTCGATTTTCTAAGAGTAGCAGCATCGCGAGTAATTCATCAGCCACCTCGGATGATGATGTAGCTATGTTTCCAATCATTGGATTCCTATTCATCTCTCTCTCCAAAACATCAATGCATAATCGGTCTTTATTAGTTATCTGTCCCTCTTTTGCTGTCTCATTATAATCCTTTAGCCGAGTCACCCTCAAACAAATGGATAGTGCTGTAAGTCCATCCAGTGTCGTATCTAAGGCAGATGCTCCTTTGTCAAGTAAACTCATTATTATTGATGGTTCCATACGTCTAGCACCAATATGAAGGACCGTATATCCTCGGGAGTTACGAAGATTGACATCAGCTATACCCAGCTTGAGTACCTCATTTACAACCTTAGAGTTACAATAGGCAGCTGCATAATGAAGAGCACAAGCATCATTTAAAGTGACATTAGACTCTCCCAGGAGTAACTTCAGCAATTCAATGTCGTCGGACTCTAGAGCCTTGAGAATCTTCCTAATTCTCTTCTCGTGTAGGGAACCACCTTCCATTATCACGTCTTGTTCAATCACTATTTGGGACTTAAGGCGGCGTGCATTTATATCGATCAAAACTTTGGAAGGAAGTTCTTTCTCAAGAGTAAAAATTTCCAAGTCAGATCGTTCCACCTTCTGCACACAGTGCTCTAAAAGTAGGCCCAGTGAGCAGTGGAAGGCCACTAAAAGTATAGGAATTACATCATCCACTGTAGCCTCATCAACAAGATTGATAAGACGCCGCTGCACATGCAAAAATCCCAATCAGAACTTGTATAATGCAATAGAAAACATAACATACTTAGAAGCAACACAAATCTCATGAAAAGGTGCTCTGCTTTCTTTTCAACTGGTATGAGTTCAATAACCTAGCTCCTTCAAATTAATGCATGGTTATTACTCTCAAGTTCCAGAGGCGGATCCAAGATTCGAAGGTGGCAGGTGCCACATTTTCTTTAATGTACACCTTATATTGACTATAGAGTTTGTTTGGAATGTGTATTCGGTTCCGTTCAATCTCGTTCGAGTTTAGTCGGGTCAACTTAATAGGTTTTTGATTTGCAAATATGAACATTACATCTCTTATATCAAGAAACAAATGGAATTAACATTTTCAACAAGGAATCACATCTCTATTATTAACAACACAAGTGAAAACAATATTTCCACTAGGGGAATTACATCTTTCCCTATATATTGAAAATAAACTTGCACATGTAGATTAATAACATTTTTCATTTAGAGAATCACACTCTCTCTGTTAAAATAAATTTGCACAAGTAAAATAACATTTTCAATAAGGGAATTACACCAATTAGAATAAGAAAAAAAGACATCCTCAATAGGTAAATCACACAATTACATCCCATAAATAAATGCAGAACTAGATAAACTACAAGTCCCCAAGTTCCGAACTTGAGCCTTACACGCAAGAAAAGCTTTCAAAAAGGCTTTCCAGCATGACACCTTTGTCTAGTTTGAGACTGCGTGTGGAAGGATTAGATATTTAACGTTGTTTAAGAAAACTTCAACATATGTATATAAAAAATTTGCCAACCTTGCAGGTGCCATGACACCCCTACCCTACAAGGTAGTTCCAATCGCACATATAGTGGACAGAGTGCTAGGCAGGTCCAGTCAGGATGATAATCAAATGTGCAATTACTTAAAATTGCCGTGCTTCACTCATCCTTTTGGACTAAATCTGCTGCAACTTTTTATGAATATATATAACAGTAACTATACTTGAAGAATACTTATGTTCTATCCAAATCACTAAGCTGACATGCATAAACTTGTACTTTATTAACTGTCATAGAATTTTCACATCATAATGTGTCAGCATATTCATCTGTCTATAAATGGACGCTCAGAGCTAGTAAATCTGATTTATGATGCAGTATTGAATAAATGACTTAGCAGACAATGAAGAAATATTGGAAATTTCACTATAAAAAATATTTTTGAGCAGCCCAAATTGTGATTCAATATTGAATAATAGATGAAGCCGTAAACTTTTAGTTATGCAAAGGTGATGGTTTCCATTTATTTTGTCGAAGTGATATGTTTATTTATAAGCTGCTTCACTTGGTAAAACAAAGACACATTCCTTCACATCAGCATTTTCAGCTTAAATCATCTACACAATGACCAAAGAACAAGCTGAAACATGGTGTCTTAGTCAAGCATTTTCAGGCATGCTGACCACATTTTTCACTTTAGAACAACAGTGTCCCAAGGATAATTCTATGACAGTCTTAAGAACTAATTCAGTGCACATTACATTTATTACGTATATGGATTTAAGAGATAGCTATGCTTACCTGAACAGCCTTGACAAGTTCTTTAATTTGAAAAGTGGCACAAGCATACATGAGTTCCACAGCATAATTAACGGCAGGGCGGCAAGCATCATGAGTACAAGTGATATCAACGCAAGTTGAAACTTCCGGAGGAGGAGACTTAAGCTTTCCCGTATACAAATAATTTAACAAGACCATAAATGCTTCATAACCAATTGAGCCACAAGGCACCAAATCCTTCAGTAAATACTTAGGTTTTCCTTCCTTCACAGAATTCTCATTCTCCTTAAATTTTTTATGGAAAAACTGACTTCGTGCAGCAAGAATACAGCGATTCACACCGACAGTGATTCCATCAACAACTATCTCTGCATCACTGTAGTCATATTCAGCATTAAGCACGAGCTTTTCGAGACTACCACTTAGCTTACTCAAGCTCAGCAGATCAAGACATGTCCCTGGTTCGTAGTGGCTGCAGTCCCCATTTGATTCATAAGAGGATGAAGCAAAACTCCAAGATGATGAAAGTTCACTGCCATTGTCCATAATTCAAACTTAATTCTTTCTTGTTATCCAAAATGGCAAGAATCCCTAAGAGAGCAAGAATATCCTCAAAGACTAATAAAAAACATTATGGAAGTTCAATCTTGTATCCTTGAACATAAAAGAGTTATTTGATCAATATCCGGTCCTGTTTCAAAAATAACTATTTAATCCAAGTAACAAAATAGTTAATGGTAACTTTCAAGATTCTTCAGGTAACTGAGTTAAATCCTTAAACAAGTCCAAAAGAAGGCATGAACTTGCCTAAGTAAGTAGCCCCTCAAAGATTTAGTGCAGTTACTTTACTCGGGATGGAAAAGTATCGGTCTATTTGATTCCAAATCATCTCAGAACAGCAACAACACCTAAGAGAAAAGGAAAAAAGACTAAATTTTTAGTGAGAGTAATATCTAGGCAAAGAAACGTGTTCAAATAACTTGAACTCTAATACTATCATTACTATACTCAGTTACCTGGATAGGGGGCACCACTCTTCACAAGAACACCAAGAATCAATTTTTGAGCTGTCCGACTTCACAAACATACAAATACTTCAACTCAAAGCATCAAGATCTTCTAATATAGCTAAAGTCAACTAATCAATTTTACTTGATCTTGGCCAAAACCAAAAAAGAACAACTGGCTCAGATCATAAGGATAACGAATATTCTGCCCACAATCTCACAAATCAAGAAAAGAGAATTTCTTGTTGCTTTCTCTCTAAAAAGCAGTTCTATGGTTGTAGAGTAATAATGAAACTGAAATAGGAGATACGGAACAAGGCAAAAAGGAATTTTGATATCGGCACTAGTATCTACTAAACTAGTGAATAGTGTACGGATATTAGCTCCTAACCACTTGATTTTGCACTTGGACACTTAACTGCTAAGACTTGGAGCGCATTTTGTGCGTATGTAGTTATGTACTATGTAGCGGTTACGAACCTCACTTGCCCGCCAACATTAGGCTGCGGGGCTTAGGATGCTTATCGGAGTATATTTTAGTTAACGGTTTGACTTATCGGTTATCGGTTTATAAATATATTAATTCGCTAGTTATCTAATAAGATTTCAGACAAATTGGTATCGGATTAGTGATTATTGAGCGATTATCGGCTAAATCTAATAAACAATAAAAATTAAGTTGAGAATTAAAGATAAGGACAAATTTGTAAAGCATCACATCTGCTCATATGTATGTATAGTTTACCTATCCAGTTGATTGATACTGTGCCAATACTGTTTGTCATGCATTTATGTTTTATGTCAAAAATTCCTAGTGATTTAGCTTGACCTTGATTTCCCACTTGAGCTAACAAAGTTTAAGGCGATTTGCACTCGGATTCTTCTTCAATTTAGCTTAAGAAAGTTGTTCTGCTTCTAACTTATCTAATCACTTAAATACCATTATCATAGGAAAATCAGACAAATCCAATCATACATACGAGATAGGAAGAAATTTTAATTAGAGATTTAGGTGATAGAGAAGAGAAAAGAGATGATTGTTGCAGGTTGAATTGAGATTCGATAAATTAGGGATTTAGAGTTTTAAATATTAATTTATATACATAGGAGTAAAAGTACAAATATAAAATTTTAACGGGTTAACGGTTTATCCGATAAAAAAATTAAATAATCCGTCTCCAAACCGTAAAGCCGTCAATAATAAAATTTCAATCTGTTCACCAATCATTACCCCGATAACCCGATACCAATAAGCCAGTAAGCCATTTTTACGATTCGGTTAACTGTTACGATTCGATTTTTGAACGGCAGCGGGGCTGACACAGTTGGCGGCTACGGAATTGCCTTTTCAATTTGACTGTACCAATGGTGTTGTTCTGCTGGTTATCTCCAGAAAGCTTTTATGTTATTAATTAAAATTACACATTTTTATCTCAATTTTATCATTTTGGCATGTCAAATTGTGAAATAAGAATACGAATTTTATTTGTTACATAAATACCAAACTTTAATACTCCTATAATTTAAATACAAAATTCTCATATTTAAAAAATTAAGATGAAAAGAATCATAGAGAACATGAGACAACATTAAAGGTATGTCGGTAAAAACAAGTTTCTTAAAAATAGCAAAGTGACTTTTCTAAGGAAAGCGGGGAAAACAAGTTTCCACGAAGAGCTTTTTACACGCTTGATACTTTATACCTATTATTTAAAAAAAAATAGTATCATTTATTATTTATTTCATAAAAAATATTTATTTTTATTATTAACATATTATAAAACTTAAGTTCAATATCTAATAAGTTAATTGACTCACTAATCACAAGAAATTCTTTTTTTTGTCCATTTCTATTCTCCGTTTCCAACATTCATCTTTTTCACTCCATTTTTGAAAATATGATGCATATGTGAATGCCACCTAAATTCAAGATGTATTGATTTATACGTCTTTTATACTTTGTATATCAAGTATCACTTTAATTCAAAATATATTTTTATGTATATAATTTTTGTATATTTATTTGTGAAGTGCCATCTTATTTTAAGATGTATTTTTAATGTATATTTCAAATATATTTTATATGCCAAGTGCCATTTTAATTTAGGATGTATTTTCTATGTATATTTATATGACATCTTAATTAAATTTAAGATATATATTTTTATGTATATTTCACAATGTCTAAGTGTCATCTTAATTGAAGATGTATTTTTTATGTATATTTTTATATATTTTATATGTGTTAATTCAATGTATATTTTTTATATATACGTGTTGTATATATTGACATATATTATTATCGAAGTAAGATCTTTATGTTAAGAAAGGAAGAAAGAAGGAAGAGAAAAACTTAAGAAAGATAATTAAAAAGAAAACGAATGGAACAAATTTAAAAAATATATTGGCTTTGGCAGAAAACAAAATCAAGAAGATGAAGAAAAAGAAGGAAAGCTAATAGATAAAGAGAAAAAAATGCATTATTTTTGTACAAAGAATTATTGACTTTCCATTCAAATTGCTTATGTTTACGGATTAATAATTAATATTCCTATTTTAATGAAACTGTGTGCTACAAATATAAATATTTTACTGGATTTCATGCTAAGAAATTATTATATATCTTTTAAATTGTGTAAAGTTTCGCTTTCATAAATAGTAATTCATGATAACTACTATGGAAAAAGGACAAGTACCCTCACATCGAATTTTTAATTACATATTATATTTTTTAGGAGTCTTATTATCCCCTTGAAATTTTTCAAAGTAATACCTTGAAATGTCATAACCAATTCTATGTGAGCAGGTAAAACACACTCGCCACATTTATATTTCTTTTTTTTTTTTTAAAAAGCCTTTTTTCATTTATTTTTTTTGTTCTCTATCTGTTTGCCGTCTTTCTTTTCCTCCTTTTCTCTTCTTTTTCACCATTCCTAGTTTCTGGTTCTCTTCTAGTAAGAAAATCAAAGCCAGAAATTGCTTTCATCTCTTCTCAAATAAATTCCTTATAGAACTCTTAAAAATGAGTAATATCAATATTTCAAACCCCCACCTTAAATATTTCAAATTCCACTCTCTCTATTCAACCAATTTTTCAGTAAAATGCAAAGAACAATGGTGTTTGGCTTAATCTTTTGTAACCGAGTTGTCAATCATTCATCAATTTTTTAAAACGCAGGTTGTTTTAATGGTGTTAAGCTCGTTTATGTTGCAGATTTTTGCGATTAAGATACGACTTTTTTCAAAATTTTCAACGGTATACTATTTTCCACGTTCAAAAGCTTCATAGGGTAATGAGCCCCCCATAAATAAAGTATGTAATTAAAATTTCAATTTTAGTTGGAAGGATACTTATGCATTTTCCCTAACTACTATCTCCTCCCATCCCAATACCCCACCCCCTCACCCCTGCATAAATGCTTTGGGATAATAATTTTTGCTCACTTATTAACACCATAAAATTAAAAAAATCACTTATTATTTTTTGGAAACATTTTTATTCGTACCAAACACACCCTAACTTTCAAAGTTTACCCGTTTCTTAAAAAAAAATACTTTTATGAAATTCTGGAGGTGCATTATACTTTACCGTACCACAAACGGTAAATCATTTGGAAGTAATTGCCACTTTTGTTGGCATTGTTCTACAGTCTAATTTTCAACTGAATAAATGTTGGAATAACATGCACTATGAAAAATAATATCGAGAATATCCTCAGAAAAAATATGAAATGAGAAGTTCCTTAAGGGCAGCCAAATAGACAATAGTTTTGAGTAGACGGTCAATGACAGAAAGGTTACAATTTCAAATAAAATCATATTGTCATGAATTCAAAGTTTATTACATCTTTGCTCGGTGAAAATATCATGTATGCATAAGTGTTTCTCCTCTTTGCTATGGTAATTATTGGTCAGTTAAGCCTATCTAGTATTCCCTCCTTTCTCATTTAGTATCATGTTTCGTTTTTTTTAAGAATCGAACTACATAAATTTTGATCAATATTTTAATATATATTTAATCATCATATTAATATGAGAAGAATTACAAATTAATACTTTTCATATATTTTTCGAATATATAAAAATTAATTTTAAAAAATTAGAATAATATAATCTAATTTAACTTCAAAAATGAATTAAGTTGACTATTGAAAAGTAAACGCGACAAGTAAATAGGGACAAGGAGAGTATAAGGAAATGTAGAAAAAGTTACGAAGATTAATGGCATATTTGAGCCAGGGGCGTATATACCTGGTCCTATACGATGTTACGGGACACCGCTTCATCGAAATTTTTCTCTAGATATGTATAATAAAAATTAAAATATTAAGGATAAATGTAAAAGATGATACCGCTTATTATTATAGTAATTTATTTCTTTGTTCATTTGTTCAAATCATGACATCACTTATAAAAAACTTGCGTACGCCACCAATTTGAGCACGAAACATTTATCTGCCATTTTGAACACTGAGTTATTATTCATAATTAGTGGTTTGTCCGTGAATTTTGGGATTTTAAGTGAAATATTATTTATTCCTTTAACTTGATTTAACCTATTCAAGTGACCGAACAATCTACTTTGACACTTTGGCGGAGCAAATTTTCACCATAATATTGTAGCTCTTTCAATCAATCCAAGTTCTCATCTTACAAATTGAGTAGTGACTCGTTATTTGGTCAATCTTAATATAATCAAGTTTTAGACAAGTAGGTTATTAACATATTTGACTGAACCTTGTTTTAATTAGGGGTGGGCATAAAATTCAAAAAATCGAATTCCGAACCGAACCGAATTAATTTGGTATTTCGGTATAGTTTTATTCGGTATTTCGGTATTTCGGTATTTTTTGGTATAGAATTTTTGGTATTTCGATACGGTATTCGGTATTGAGTTTTTGATATGTCGGTATACAGAAATACCAAAATATTTTGAGTCCAAACTCACATCTATTTTTATTTTCCAGCCCAATAAGCTTAAGCCCAACACCCCTAATTCCCTGTGTAACCTTGAATTATGCTGCTCGTTAGATGCTGGCCTGTTGCTTGTTAGAAATTTAAAATGATTTCCTTTTAATGAATTCTGCTGTTGGCCTGCTGTTGCAAACTTGCAATTGCAATTGTATTGGTTGCTCATGCTTCTTATCAAACTTTTTGGCCTTCTTGCTTAGATAAAGTGTATTTCCTAAGGCTTACTTCATATGTTATCACTATAGATAGAATATTTTAAGTTATGGATGATGAGAATTGAGAAAGGAACTTTATTTACATAAAAGAAAATGCAGCAATGCCTTACATTGGAGAAAGTGTCGCTTAATATTCTTCTTCAATCACTTTATACCTGCACCATGGTTGTAAAAGGAAACGATTTGGCTCAACATGAGATCAAATCGGTTTTGCTGAAAAAATTTGGTGAAACC